GAATTGGAAGGGACCCACAAGGATCAGCAAATCCAGCTCCTGGCTGTCCTGCACAAAATACCCCAAAAATCCCATCAGGTGCCTGAGGACATTGTCCAAATGCTTCTGGAACTCTGGCAGGGCTGGTGCAGCTCTTGTTTTGTTCTGCAAGGATCAGGTGGTTCATGGCACTTTAGGCCATGTCCATTGACCATGAAAAGTCTAAACCTGCTCATCTGTAACTTCTCTACAATGTCACAGGTTGGGGTGGCACTGGCAGCACTTTTGTCACTGGTCTGTCCCCTCAATGCTTTTTTCCTCTACTATTTTACTGATTCTGACAACAAAGGCAGAGTTCGATTGTGGAACCAAATTGCACCTTCAAAAATTTCCTTCTCACTCTTGCCAAGAGTTTGTGGTTGGACAGTTGCAAAGAGCTGGAGACTCCAAGGTCAGCAGCTCTCCTTGAGGCATCTTTGGCCTTCAGATCATCTCTGCCTCTCCAACCTGAGCTCAGAACAGATCTCTGGGAGGTCCACTGGGCATTTATTGTAAATGGAATTACTCCTTTTGTTTCTCCAGCTGACCCACCCAAGTGCATGTTACCAGTTGCATCCCACCCTGGACTGTTTTCCTTCGCTGGAGAAAGACCAGGGATGGAGCAGGGAATGGGGCTAAATCCGTCTGAGTGCAATGATTTTCTGGAAAAGGATCTGCAGAGGCAGAGTCCTTCAGCTGAACATCTTTGGGGCCAATCAATCTATTGCTAAAAATAAACATTTCAGTTTAAAACACTTTAAGCTCCTTTCCCTGCTGTGTTCCCTGACTCCAGCCTGGATAACCCCAGATGTTTTAGAGGTAATGAACCCAAGGAATTGAGAATGCATCAGATAACAAAGCCCCAGCTCCTGGGTCTCTGCTGGGTGAGGGTGCTTATCACTCACAAAGGCTCTTTGGTTGTCAAATGGAGCTGTCTGAGGTTTAATTTCTTTACCTTGCCCTGTCTTGCCTTAGTTCTTCTGTGAATTTCTCAAACATTTTTCTCATTGTTCTCATTTCAAAGGTCCTTATCCCAGCTGTTCCCAAAAAGAGCCCTGCAGGATCCACCGTCCCACAAAGGGCCACTTCTCCCAACCTCATGGGCTGCATCTGACTCAGTTTTAGGGTCTGAACAATTCAGTGCATTTCATTTTTTATGTCAACCACATGCTTTTGCTGAGAAAAAAGATTTTTATAAGCCAGGTAACCCCAATAACACCAAACTTTCAGAGGGCAGTAGATACTTGAGTCACCCACGAACCAAGGAAGAAAGACCAGAAAACGAGGCAGGAAGCAATTGAAGCAGATATTTCAAAGTTTTATTGTATAAATCTACAAAAGGCTTTGCTACAATAGCAAATCGAGTGTAGCACTATTCTACTGGCAGGCTCTAGTGGCTTGGTGTGATCTTGTAACTCCAACATGACACATGAGGAATAAACTGCCTGATCCAGTCAGATCCAGGGCAGGTGATGTCGGCTTACAAAGACCTTTTGGCTTCAACCCCTACAACCTGCAGTGATTTGACATGTTTGCCTTTTGCACAAGGTTGCTTGAATTAATAATATCTCTAGTAAAAATAAAAACTCTAAAGTAGTTTCATCAGTAAATGCAAAATCGCCTAGGGAGGAAAAAAATGCAGTGGTTGAAATCTGCTAAAGTTCCACAGGTACAGCACATCCACACTTCTCATTCACGTGACTCTGCCCCAGGAAAATAAACTACCAGTCCTTCCTGGAGAGGCTGGTAATAAAAACCAGGGTGCTACAAGTAAAGCTCCAATTTGCTGGGAGCAACAATTGAAATCAAATCAGTCCAGGAAATTCAGTTCTGCACACTCCAAAAAGCCAGCTGAAAATGTAAAATCTCAGGACCAAATGAACAAGTAGCACAGACAGGCTAATTCCCTAAAAAAGCAGGAGAAATAAAATGCCTATTGAGGCAGTTCAGTCCCTTGGAAGAGACTGTGGAAATTAAGCACCTCAAAATCAAATATCATTTGGACCTTAAGATGATGCCCGGGAATCTGCCTTTACATGGTTTTATGGAATTTTCCAGTCCTGGACATTTTTGCTGGGCCTTGTTGGAATGTGCCTTAGGTCCCTCTGGCTTAATTCAAATGCATCAAAACACCACAGAATTTAAGTAATGTGGATTTTTTTGCTGAACACACACACACCCACCCACACACACACACAGGACAGTTGGCTCTGGAAGAGAGAGGAACCAACTGGACCTCTTCGGCTGAGAGATGAACCAAAACTGTCTTGTCCAGCTCTTTTTGGGCTCCCTGGGTCTGGATGGAAACAGTCACTCCAAAGCCAGCACAAGAACCCCAGTTCTTGCAGTAACTCTGGCCCATGCAGACCCAGAGAGCGCCTGCTGTCTCACAAGGCTCCTTGCTGGCAAGACAGCTGGCCCAGATGTGCAGGCTCCAACAGTTCAGACAAGCATCTGGACCGTGGGATGCTTCTCCAAACTCCGGGAGCCCTTTGAGGTTTGGAACTGATACCCGCATGAAACGACTCAGGAGAGGTGAGTTACAGCATGGTCAGCGGCGAGGGTTCCTAGCCAAGGCAGGATCAGCCCCTTGGCAAAGTTAATCAGGAAAGTTTGGTTTTTTTTTTCTTCAGTGAGGATCATTTTCTAGTGAAGATTTCTTTAGGTGAGTCCCAGCAGCCCCAGACTGTAGAGGTGCAGGATCCTCTCCACAGACAGTCAGCATCCCTGCTGTCCCCAAAGCCTGGACTTGGTTCTTCTGTTCTGGCCTGTCTTTCCACTCTCAGCACTTTCTTTTGTACTTGGAGTACCTGGACCAGCTCGGGATTTTCTTTGTCCTGCTGGAAGCAGCTTCCCAGTTTCATTCTGGCTCTCAGCACCTTGAATGTTTGCATTGCACTGCATGGGAGGCTCTTTGGTGCATGATTTGCCCTCTGTCTTCCTGCAGTATTTCTCCCCTGGGAAAGCTCTTGGACACAGAGAAGGAATCTCAGCAACAGCAGCAGGGATTGCTGGAAAAGAAAAAAAAAATGCACCAACTCTGATTAGATTTTTGAAGTGGGGAGAAAGGGGAAATTCTCAGGAGCTGGGATTAAATTTTGCTGTGCCTGCAGCCTGGAGGACCCACCAGGTGTTGGGGTTTTATGGATTTGCCCATGGTCCAGCCAAGGGAAAGCCACGATGTGCAGTCCCTGGGGCATCAATTACTGGGGCTGGTGCTTGGGTTCTGGCACCAAGGAGCTGAAATCCCACCTCTCTGGTGGTGCCAGGCTGCTGCAGCCCCTGGGACTGAGGTTTCAAGACCAGGACAGGCGTTTGCACCTGGGCTGTTCAATATCTCAGGTCAGGGCACTGGGGAGATTCAGGTAGACCCACAAGGCAATATGGGATGTAATTACCTGTGCCAGTCTTTCCTTCAGGTGGTGGATCTGGCCATTGGTGGCTGAGGGTCCTGAGAGCAGGTCTGACGTTGAGGCCTTTGTTATGCAGCTTTTTCTGTGGCTTTCCTCCCAAATGCTGCATGCTGCGAAGTGATTCCTTCTCAGAGGAGGATCTGAGTGAGTCACTGGAAGCAAGAGGAGACAAAGCTTGTAATACACGGCCAGCTCATCCTCAGCAGTGACTCCCACTCCCCCATCACTCAGCCCAGGTCATTAGTGAGAAATCCTCCACGCAGAGCTGTTGACAAACTGGGAACAAGTGAGAGGAGAGCTCCCACCATTGCTGAGACCAGCTCCCAGCAAGGATGCAGAGCAGACCTGCACCTCCTCTAGGCTGTGCATGGGCCTGGGATGTGCTGCCTCAGGTGGGGACTCAAGCCCAGAGGTTCTCCATGAAGAACAAGGCAGGTTCTGGGGCTGAGCTAATTAAGAATCTCCCCATTATTTTCCCATATTAATCAGAAAGTGCAGGATACCGCCCTCTTTGGAAACTTTTCCCATTCCTGTATTTCCCTTGGGCTGGCTCTCCCTTCTCCTTTCTCCCAACCCCAATGCTTCATATCCCATTTCTGCTGAGATTTTTGATCCCAGTTTCTACTGGACATTCTATGACCAGTTCAGCTCTGAGGAGAGAATGCCAGACAGCTGCCTTACCTTCAGCCTCTTGGAAGGAGTCACAGCAAAGGCCTTCCGAGCCACCAGGGCCACATGTCACCGCTGTGGCAGTGCCAGGAGCATCCCAGGGTCACTCCTGCTGCTGCATCCCTGCTGTTTATTTGGTCTGGTGGTGGATGCAGGTCATGCCCAAGACGTGTCCAGCCTCAGGAAGCTTTGGAGAGCCAAACTTCAGGAATGTCTTTCTTCTCTCAGTCCTGTCATCAAGCACTGGCCAAAGGTGAGTGCTGAGCGTTTCCCGTCTCAACATGGAAAAAGTCACAAAGTCCAAGTCCATCTCCATGTATGGCGAGATGTTGCAGGAATTCCTTTGTGAGCAGACAACACTCTATCCTCAGGTGCTCCAGGACAGGGGTGCCAGGCTTCCAGGAGCATTTGGAGTCTGTCTGTGCGAGCAGAAACTCCTTGCAGCGATGCACAGGTTAAAACTGTGCTGGGGCACACAGATCCTCTCTTCACTTCTTTTGGCTTTTACATGGCAAAAGCTCCTGTTGTCTCCACGCATCAGCATGGACTCGATTTGCTGCTCTGGGGATATTTTGCTCTGAATTTAGGGTGTGTTTGTTTGTTTCATTCAAAGAATAAGGATTTATTTCCCTTCCCTCCCCCCCAGTTTCTCTCAAAAGAGCTCTGGTGTCTCCTCTCTCTACCTTGAACACCCTCTCTTCTCTGAAAGGAAGGAGACTGCTCCTTCAACAAATGAGCTCAGAATTTAATTAGAAAATCTGTTTCCTGCTGAATGCACAGGATAATGTGCAGAGAAAGGATGAAATCTGCCTCTGCACTGCAGTGGCCTTGAACTAGAGTGAGCAGAAACTAAGACAAGAAGTAAACCAGTAAGAGCCTCTTGAGAGGATACTTATTAAAGCAGGTATTAGGTGCAGTGAAATGAAAACCACAGAAAATAATCCAGATTCTTAAAGCTTTCAGTTCCTGAAATAATAGGATTTTTTTTTCATCTTATAAAAAAATAATCAAAAAAATTACTTTAATCCTTTGGAGCAAGTAAGAGCAGGAGATTGCCAAGTGAACAGAAACCCAGAGGTTAATCAGAAACAGGCAAGGGTGAAAAAGAAAGCTGTCTCCTCAGGACAGGGCCACCCTCTCAGAGGAGGGAGTAGAGAAGGAAAAAGAGAGATCCAGATGGGTAGGAACCCTCCACCAACTGCTGCACTCATATGAAGTCCTTGAGAGCTGCCAGTGCCGAGCGGCCGCTTCACAAGTTGGGAATTGTCTGTAGTTTCTTGTCAGGGAATTCTCATAAAATTGGCTGTCCCCCGCAGTGGTGCCAGCAGGGTCCCCAGCACCACCGCATGGCACGGCCTGGGTGAGGGGGGCAGCCCCATCCTGGGGTGCCTCTCCCTCACCACCTCCCTCCCCCCAGGAGCAAAGCCAATCCCTCTGCTCTGGGCTGTTGGACTGAGCACTCCTCAGGTCTCGTCTCAGCCAGAACTTCCCTCCAAGGAGAAGCTTCCTAAATAAGCCCCCTTCTCCCTTCCACGGAACCCAGACCCCCCTCAGGGGAGCTCATATGACAGTGGCTGGGGGGCTTGGGGGCTCTGGTTGAGTCCCATTGCTCGGCACGGGGCTGGCGGTGGTTGAGGGGGGCACGGTCTCCACAGAGTCTCCTGGCTGAACCTCAGGAGTCCTCTGTGGGCTGGGCTCCTCAGAGTGCTCCATGTTGCCTTGGACCTCCTTCCCCCTCTGGATCAGCTGCTCTAAGGTCTTGGGCAGGGGGTAGCTCAGGAAACGCTTCAGTTTGGGCTGGAGGGTGCCTACCACGTACTGGATGATCTCCTCCTCATCTGCATCCACATAGAGGGTCTGGTACAGGTCTCTCTTGCGCCAGAGGAACTGATCCAGGGGCTCCCCCTCTTTCTGGGGCAAATCCAGCTCCCTTTTGATCGCATCCCTAGTCAGAGTTCCCTCGCTGTACTGCAGGAACTCCTTCTTGAACTCGACCCAGTTTTTGACGGAGTCCTGCTTGTACTCCCACCACTTTTTAGCTGGGCCGTTCATGTGGTTTTGGATCTGAGACAGCCAATACTCCTCTGTTCCACCCACCTGCTTTAAGTATTCCTCCAAGTGGCTCAGGAACTCCCGGGGATCCTCAAACACCTGGGTCTCCACTGGGGAGGCTGGAGCGTCCTCCGACACGGAGACCCACTGGTAGGAATCGTGGCCCTGGGGGATGCTGGGCACCTCCCCGGGAGGAGGGGTCAGGGCATACATCTGGCTCATGTCCAGGGCATAATCATAAATCTCCCCCTCACTTGGCCTTATTTCTGGACCTCCCACCCCGACAGACACCGTCTGCTTGCCCTGCTCCCCAGGGCAGTATTTGCCTCCCATGGACTCCAGGCGGTCAGCCCACTTTTCCAGGCGGAAAAAGACCTCCTTCCAAACATTCATCTCCCTCTTGACCCACCTCTCCAGGTGGGCAATGGTCTCCTGGCACCTGGCCAGGCAGGCCTTGATGGACTTCTTCCATCTCTGGTTTTCAGTTGGGACGTGGTCCTCTAAGTTGTTCTCCAACTTCCCCACGGATTTCTGCAATCCCTTCAGCTCCCGCTCCACCTGCTTGGAGACCTCTGTCAGGAGGTGCCGGTGGGTCCTCCGGACATGCTCCAGCATTTCTGCCCTGCACTTCCCTATCTGCAGGATCACATTGGGCTTGTTGGCAACTCCACGGTGCCCCTGGAAGGAGTGGACGCCCGCGCTGGTGACATTGTCCAGCTGCATGACTCCGACTGTGTGAGTGGCAAACACGGGAAGAACTGGGTTATAAGCCCCTGGCACTAAAGCTGGATCCCAAAAATCCCCACCACAACACTTCCTGAAAGACACACAGAGACTTCTAAACCCCCCTCCAAGGACTTTTGGACACAAACACAACCCAATCAGATATCACCGCAGAGCGAGCTGGTCGGTCCACGTGGATCCCAGAGAGAGTTGTAGGCAAATTTCTCCCAGTGCCAAGCTGGAAATGCCGGTCTCACGTGTTCAGGGGAGTCCCAGAGAGAACCAGGATCCTCCAGGGACAAGGAGAGGAGTTGGATAGGATGTCCAATCCCGCTGGGAATCTGGAACGCCGCAAAGTCCCCGCCGGAGGAAATCACAGAGATGCACAAAGCTGGAAGCTGCAGCAAAAATCCGGGTGATTTCTCCTCGGGCAAACTAGGTGAGTCAAAAACCGCTTTCACTGGAGATGCAAAGAGCTGCTTCTCCTCCCTGTCTGAACTGCCACTAGTCCAGGCTCCTCCATCTACTTATACTCCACGCAGCTCAACATGTGGGTGGTGCCCAGCCTCCTCTCGCACTCTCAGCGCAGCGTTCATTGGAGGAAAAGAGATGCCGGTGACTGTGGCAACCCAGATTTTGGCAGCCTCCCCTCGCTTGCCACCCCCTCGCTCACGCCCCCAGACTCGACGCGAGAAGCGCTTGAAAGGTGCTGGAGACAGTTGGAGAGATGGATGAGTAATCGCACCTTCCGCCTCCCAGAGCGCAGGAAAAACACTTATTCCTTCCACAACTCTTTACTCAGCAAGGTCATCATTAACATGCGTCCCCTGGCAGGGCTCGGGGAGGGCGGGATGAGGAGGAATCCGGTGTGTCAGACGCCCCCGGCCCCCCGCACACCCCTGCGCTCACACACACACAGGGTGAGCTCACTGCTCATGCAAATGCCTGGGAATTGTGGTAAATCAGCAGCGCGAAAAAAAAAATAAAAAAAAAAAAGGAGAGAAGAGACCAGAAAAGCAAAGAGGAGGGGGGATGCAGAGGGGGGAACACTCAAAGGAGCCACTTCAGCACAAATTGGAGCGCTCTGGACTTTCTCAGGCATTGGTAGGTGGGAGTCATCCCTGCGGCTTAATCGCACCAGACCAACCACTATCTTGGGAATATTGGGTGAGGGAGGGGGACAACATCCTGGTTTTTACACCGAATTAAATCCGCCCATCAAAAGCCTGTTCTGTACTTAGCTTTGAATCAGATGGTTAATCAGTGAGCCAGCCCACCAGTGCAGATGAAGCTACATTTGTTCTTCGCTCTTGACAAGGCAGGAAAAGCCAACCATAAAAGGAGTCTCCGGGTCTTACATAAGCCAGAGATAAAGGATTCCCTAATCCAAGAGAGTTTCCCCGCCGGAACACCCTCGGAGAGGTGCTGAGGACATCTGGGCCTTCTCGTCCCTTCCCAGTGCCAGTGGCCGGAGGCAGTGGGATGCTGATCCATCTAAAAAGGGGGTTTGAGCCTGCTGGCAGCAGGGTGGTGCTGGGGGGGTGCCCTGCCTGTGCTCGGGGTGGTGGGCAGGTGCCAGCGAGGCTGAGGGTGAGTCCTCACTCCCAAAGCTCCTGGCTCGGTGGTTCCTGGTGGGAATTCAGCCATTGCAGAGGAGCAAAAAGAGGAGGAGGCAGAGGGTGTTTCAGTGAAACCCTGCTGGAAGGAGGTCCCGGTGAGGCCAGGTTAAGGCAGAATCACAAACTGGTGGTGGATAATTGAAAGGTGTGAGGGGCAGGAGTCAGAATTCCCTTTTTTCCCCTCAAATCTGTGTGGTGCAGGAGGGCCTGTGTCTGTTCCCTAACAGGTTGTGGCTCTCAGGGAACAAGAGTGTTACTTAGGGCAGCAGCAGCTGACCTAGAAGGGCTGCATGGTTTAGTTGAAAGGAGGGTGGGACAGTGAGTGGGGAAGGGGACAAAACCCTGAGGGTGTAACACAGAATTCCTAATCCAGCAGCCCCTCCCAGTGCCACTTCTGACTACGCTCTGCCTTGCTTACTTCTCCAATTTCACCCAGTTTTCCTAAACACAAGATTTTGGGGCAGCTGTGTTTGTGTTCAGAAGAAGTCAAACGTCAATTATCTCAGGGGTTGGGAGAGATCTGGAGCCTTTTATGCTGCTGTCTCAGTGCCCCAGAATCTGCCTCAAACCTGCCAGGAAAAGATAACATGGATTGGGAGAGACTCTGCAACCTTTATACCTCTGGATTGGTGCAAAGATATTCCCTGGAGAGGTTTTCACCCAGGAACCCCAGAAATGACCCATAGGATGGGGACAATATAAAGTGCATTAACTCTGCAGGATGACCTGCATTCAGCCTCTCCTTGTCCCATCAAATGCCGGAGTCTGGGATGAAATGGCTCCTAAACCTGCTTCAATAAATTGGTCCCTTTCTGGGCCCTGCTGCCTCTCTTTGTTCCTCCCTTGCTTTCCAGCTGGGGGGGGATCCTGGATTTGAACGGCCTCTTTTGACACTCAGCACAGGATCTCAGGATTATTAAGGATGAAGGGGACTCAGGAGGTTTCTAGCTCAGCCTCCTACTCCGAGCTGAGTCAGCTGCTGGGTCAGCTGAGCTGGTTTCAGGCACTGAAAACCCCAGGGATGGCAATTGCTCTGAGGGAAAACCTTTCTCCTTGTACCCAAACTGAGTGTCCTGTTGGAATTTGGACCTGCTGTCCCTTGTCCTCTCACCAGCCACCAGAAGATCCTCGTTCTGTCTCCTTGATAACTCCCCACAGGGACAGGACGCTGCTGTTGGATCCCTCAAATCCATCACTTCTCTGGTGTCTAATCCCACACCAGGCACCAGCTCTGACCATCCCAGTGGCCTGAACTCATTCCCTGTGATCAGTGTTGTGTATTAGGAGGGCCAAACATCATGCAGCAGCTAAATATGATCTAAAATGCTCTGACTGGAGGGGGATAATCACCTCCACGATCTCCTGGCTGTATTTATGCCCCCACAATCCAGGATAATTATTTTGCTACCAGGACACACTGCTGCATCTTCCTCAGCCTGCTGAGCACTCCCAGGCCCAGTTCTCCCAGTCTGTTGCTGCCAGGGACTCTTTTCCCCCCAGAAATTCCAGAATTAGCCCTTGCTGAACATCACCACATTTCTCTTGGCTCTTCCCTCCAGCTTTTCCAGGTCTCTGGGTTAATCGCATTCAGCCTCCTTTCACAGAGCTCTCCCCCTAATCACTCTCCTCTTAATTCTGTGGAGGTGGTGGGGGAGGTGGGAGAAGCGAGGACGAATGGGGGTTTTCCTTCTGGACCTGCTGGGGAGCGAGTTGCTGATTAAGACGTGTGTGATAAGCATTTTCTTTGTATTTCTAATTAAAGCGAGGTGCGTGGGAAGAGGAGGAGGAGAGAGGGGAGCCGGAAGCCAAGGGAGGAGGGAGATGTGGAGCGAGGTGATGGAGAGAGGCAATTTGAGGCAGCCAGGCAGATTCCAGGCACAGAGAGGCAGACAGGCATGGAAGGACAGGATCCACGGATTGGGGCAGGATGGGGAGGAGGCAGAAATCTTCTAGGTGGCCACAGGGTGTCCAAGATAAGAGAGGGGCAAGAAGAGCAAAAAGGAGAGTGGGAAGTGAGGATGAGGATAAGCAGTTTGCTCCAAAAGAGCTCAGCTGAAGCAAGGGAAGGAGAGAAAATAGCAAAAAGCCACATCTCATAGCTCAGCAGGGATGGTGTCAACGTGGGTTGTCTCCCTAGAGCTTCCTGGAGAATTTTAAAGCACCGTAGGTTAGGATCAGATCCAAAAAAAAAAAAAAAAAAAAAAAAAAAAAAAAAAAAAAAAGGGAGAGAGAAGAGGGAAAGCCAACAGACCAGTTAAAGGCACCAAAAGGAGCATGTGGCAGTGAGCAGCAACTGAGTCTTCCCCTGAGGGGAGTGGGACCAGAATAAAGGGACACTGAGTCACTGGCACCTTCCCTGGTGCTGTCACTGCCTCCTGAGGACACGATGCGCCCCGAGCCTGGTGGCACTCACCCCTTGGCATCAGTTCAGCCTGTGGGCTCTCTCTGCCTTGGAGCAAATGTGTTTGGTTTAGGGGTTTTTTTGGGGGGTTGACAGGCCTTTGCCACCTCATCTGCTCAGAGGCTCCTTATGGCAAGAGCTGTCACACCTTGGAGAGCAGCCTGAGCTGTGAGCCAGATGAACCTGGTGGGTGAGTGAGAAGGGGGAGATCCCGAGGGAAACTTGGGGAAGTTTCTGGTGCAGCTGATTTTGTGCTTCACACGCTCTGAGGAGCTCTGGCGGATGCTGAAGTGCCCTCCTGTGCTGCCAGGGTCCCTCCCCGGTTGTGCACTGAGATGTTCATTGTGTTCCTCCTCGGAATTGCTGTCTGGAGGAGCCTTTCTTTCACCCAGGACTCTTTGAAGCACCTGAAATTAGAAGCCTGAAGCCATGTGGGCAATTCATCCCATATTCTTGCAGGAACTAATATCTCCTAGTGGTGAACAAGGGATTTTCTGCATTATCCTATATTCCCTGTGCTAGAATTTTCCCTTTCCCTTCCATAATTGCTTCCTCTTTCTAGAAGAAATAAGAAGAAAATAAGAAACCACATTTTCCCTCCATCTGCTTCCACATCCTTTCAATCCCTATTAATTCTCCTACAGCTCACCAGACAAAGCTGCCCAGTCATTTGTTTGGTAGCAAAACCCTTGGAAGGAAAAAAAATTAAGAAGAAACCAAGGTGTTGGGCTTTTAAACTCACAAGGAACGAAAGAGGGAAAAGAATAGCCCATTTAATTTGCACCATACGTTTCTATTCATCCATCTCCAGCCCTGGAACACTTTATTGCACTGGAGCTGGCACTCACAACGCAGAGTTTTGCTTTTAAAACATGGTTCACACGTCAGTGGGTCCTTTGTTCCCAGCCACCCATTGTCCTCCAGGCCCACATCACTTACTGGGAGGGTGTGGAAGCAATTGGGAACCTCAGGGCATCCTGCTATCAATATTACTTCACAATGATGATTGTTATTAGTGCCACAACTTCTGGTGCATTATTCTCTCTGTATTCCTTTTCATCTGGAAAGCCCTACTTTGAGAGGAAGATAAAGTGCTTTGTTTTCCAACCAAAAATATCTCCCATGTTTTGTAATTCTCCACTCTTCTTATTTAATGAGATGTTTGTTATTTTGGTTTCCTTGCTGGGCAGAGGAAATGTTAATGAGTCTCTCCTTGTGCTGCTTTTTGCCTCCTCAAGCCTGCCTGAGGCTACAGCAAGGAAGTCAAAGGAGGTGTCAGCATTTTTCACACTCTGGCATTGGCTGTTATGACCCTCCCGAGGTCAACACAAATAGAAAGACATCTCCAAATGAATTTCATTTTCCTCCCCTGCACAGCCCTGACAAGCTGGAAAAACACATTTGTCGCCGTGTCAAAAGGCCTGGTTCACAACTGGTCTGTGACAATTCTT